CCCCAGCCCCGCCCTGTCCTCCCCGCCCCCCGCCCCGTCCCAGGCCCCACCCCTGCGCTCTGCCCCGCCTCTACGTTGCACCTTCACTCCAGGTCTAGTCCCGCCTCCTGTCCCTCCCTGCGTGGGTCGCTAGACTCCGCCTCCGTCGCGCCCTAAGGACGTCGGCGTCCGCACGCTGATGGTGCGGGCGCAGGCGCAGGCGCAGATGTGCGTTGGCAGCGTGGGCTTGCGGGGTCTGGCCGCGCCGCGGGCCGTAGCCTTTCTCGAGGCCGCCAGCTGTCATGGCGCTCCGCTGCCTGCTGCTGTGGGGCCGGGGCGGATGCCGGGCACGCGGGCTCGCCCCCCTGCTCGTGCCCGGCAACGGCGCGGGCCGCGGTGGGCGGCACAGCCTGCGCACGGTGAGTCCCTTCGGCCAGTTCTGTTCTGGGTGGCCTCAAGGTCACCGGCGGAGGCCCCGGCCCTTCCCGGGTGAGCGTGCCGCTCGCAGTCCGGGGCGAGCGGGCGGCGGAAGCGGAAGGCGGCTTAGCGTTGGGAGCGCCGCCGCTCGTTCCCGGGCTCCGCCTCAGGACCTGCCGTCAGCTCGTGAGGGCCACCTGACCCTGCCTCGCTCCGGCGGCGCTGCCCGGGGCGGCCGGGCTGACAGCCGCTGTGGCGGGCTCAGTGGCAGCCTCCTGCCCGACCGCCCTTGGAGCCCGGAGGCGGATGACTTGGAGCTTGAGCCCCGGCGTCCCTGGAACTTGGCCGAACCCTTTTACAGAGCCTGGTGCGCTGGAGGAATTGGCGCCGCGTTTCCACTGGGGGGTAGCATACCGACCCCGGTGTCCACAGGGCGGGTTCCAGGACCCTGGTCATCCGTATCTGCAGGGGTTCAGTCCCTTGGTAGGAAATGGTTGCTGTCGTTGGGGTTGTTTGTTTGTTTGGTTTTTGCATTTAACCTGCGCCCATCCTCTCTTACGCGTTGTCATCTCTAGGTTGGGTGTAATGCCTAATATAGTGCAAAGGCTGCTTAAATACCCAGTGGTGCAGGCAGTACTGTTTAGGGAGTAACGACGGGAGAGGGGGTCTGTTCACCACAGAGAACATTTTTTTCACAGTTTCTTCTACGGATGTTTTTGGAATCCAAGGATGTGGCAATCGAGGGCTGACTGCTTACAACCATGAACTTCCTCCAGGCTCCCTTGCCAGACTGGCATTTATTTACCCCTTGCTCTCTCTTCGTTCTCTACTGTTGCACTGTGTTTTCAGTTTCTTGCATCGCGACCGTTTTCCCACACTACCTTGCTCTGATCCCATTTGTGTTGCGACTAATGGGTGTGGGACTCCTGTGCCACGGATGGGTCGGGTCTGTCCGGTGAGTTTGCGATTTTTATGGCAGACTCTTTTCTTACCTAAACGACCTTTCTTCCCAGTGGCTCTGGTGTGGCGCTGGTGCGGCACTGAGTCAGCAATGCTGAGGTAGAAGGAAGTCTGTTCTGGTAGGGGATGTGTCAGTGATAGGTATTATCAGGCCTTGGTTCAGCCATTGAGGGAGTCTGATAGGACAGATTTGTCCTTAGGTTGATATCCCTGTTAAAGATCAGGAAGGTCTTTACAGTGACGACCTTGGGAAAAGATTTTGCTGTGTTGCCACATCATTTCTCAGGTGCCATTCTCAGAGGAGTGAGACTGGTGAAAAGCAACTAAGTAGTGTTCATACTGTCACATGTAAAGCTAAGCAAAGATAGGTGCTCCAAATCTAAACTTGATGAATTAGTGCCTCATTTTTTTAAAGTAGGAAAATGTATTGGAGAAAAGGAATAGGGAATGGAATGGGAAATAGGAATTTCTCCATATGCTCACCAATTCTTGTCTTTTTGATGAGAGCACCCCAGTGAATATGAAGTGTCTTTATTATGAAGGACTTTATTTATTTATTAAGTGTTTGGTACAGGGTCAACAGGATCTCACTACGTAGACTGGACTCAGAGTGATCCTCCTGTTTTCAGCCTCCCAATGAAGGGCCTTATTTTTGATGTTTTATTTTTCTCGTCAGACCAAAGAGCCAAATGATAATGGGTGCTAATACAGATGAGCTTTGCTCTAAGCAGTGATTCTTTGGCTTGCTCCCTACCATTGCGCTGATTTTTTACTCTGTGAAGTGGTAAAAATTATTTGCACCTTTTCTCTGCCAGATTTGGGTGTATCTCCTTAGTGCCTCTTGCCACCAATTGCTTTTAGTTGTGTAGCTTAAAAATTTAAGAGAACTTGTTTGTTTACAGTATACTTTGTTTTATCTAAGCCATGTTTATGAACTTCTTAGCAACTTGTTATATAAAATGTAATTATATTGGGGCCGGGGAGATGGCTCAGTGGAATAAGCGTTTCCCTGGCAAGCACAAGGGCCTGAGTTCAATCCCCGGTTCCGCAAAAAAAAAAAAAAAGAAAATGTAATTTTATCTGTAATAGGACTTCTGTAACATGATTCCCACCTGGTGGTAATAGATGACCAATCCTTACCACATGCCACTAATTAAGTGTTATCTGGGATGTTGGGTCATGGCTTTCTTTTTTTATTGAGAAATATGAATGAGACAGTTTCAAAGCTGATTAATAGGACAGTTTTGATAATCAATACATTGTACATTGTTATCTTCTTACTGGTTATCCGTAGTATAAGAAGCAGACAGGATATCCTGTCCAAACACTATTAATACACATCTTTTTTCTCGTTGAATTAAGCGAAAGTAGCTGTATATGTATCCTAACTATTTTGTATATACAAACACAAAATGATCTTTCCTTTGTATCCCTTTTTTTTTGTTTAGGCCTGTCAGAGGTGAGTATTCTATTGGCATCTAAATACTATAGGTACTTGAATTCAACCAGACAATCCAACACTGTCCAGCAGTCTATAATATTAGTGGGTTATCCGCAGAAGTTGTTGACTTGAGCCTTTTACAGCTCATCGTATTAATATGGCTTTACTTTATATAGCTCGTATTTTATACTTTTCTGCTGGATGGTTAAGACTAAGATAAAGCAAGACCTATATAATAAGAAATGTAACTTTTGTATCTGATAAGGTCAGCCAAGTACCCTTAGGAGTTATCCTATAGCCCTGTACTGCACTTTGTAGATCCTTTGTCAGTGTCAGCCATGAGGATGAGTCATGGCCATTGCTTAAAGCCTGAGAGATGGCTTTCTGAGTTAAGGGAAATTTAGTATCTTTGCAAGTAGCACTGGCCTCGGCCTTGGGTGAATGTTTTGAGTACTGGCATAGGTGGGATCACAGAGGTTCCTCAGGGCCTGTGCATTAAGGGCTTCATTGCTACTGTGGAGCTGTGGGAGGTATAGTAGGCCCTTTAGAAGTGGGGTTCAGGTGAGCTCTTGAGGTCTCTGGGTTAGGCCCTGGAGGGGGAGGATTTCCAGGTTCCAGGGAGATCCAGGTCCTTCTCTTTTGCTTCTGGGAGATAAGGCGAGCGGTCCCTCCACCAAGCGCTGCCTTGGCACAGCTCCAGAGTAGTGGTGCAGGAACATGGACTGAACCCTCAGAAGCAGGGCCAGCATCCTGCTTCCCTTTAAGTCTGTCATGTCTGGTGTTTTGCCAGAGTAATGGAAAGCTAGTGATTAACACAGTCTTGAAGATGGGTGGACACAAAGCAGCACCAGCGCTGCAGCTAGATAAAACACTGCCGAAGTGCCTGTATCATGATAGTTGTAGTTGGGTTGCTTGAGGGTGATGGTGTCTGTTTGCCTTGTTCTGTTGCTAGTCAGGGTCAAGTGGTGCCAGGTGACCTGCGTTTTTCCTCAGCAGTCTTCTGTGCTGGTGTATGCAACTGTGGAAGGTGAAGCCTTCAACTCCTTTGTGGTACTTGCAGTGGAGCCCTTCTGACCTTTGTATGCCAAGTAACTGTTGTGCCTTTGTTTTCCTGTCCTGTTACAGCTCTGTCGGTACGCTGCAGCACAGGTGACGGCCAGCCGAAGGTCTCTTGTGACAGATGTGATTGCTGCATACCATAGGTTCTGTTCCCGCCCTCCCAAAGGTAAGTGCGCGGGTGTGGCCGCATGTTCTGTGTTCTGCTGAGGCTGCCACAGGTGTGTACCAAGTGCGTGCCTCGCTTCAGGGACAGGTTGACTCTTAGCTTCTTCCTCCTCCTGTGCCCGCTCCCCTACTCCAGCTTATTTTTGTTTGCAGAGATGTAAGTGTATTACCTTCACCTATAATACGTTTGTAGATGGTGCATTGCTTGAAAGGAGAACTCTTGTGAACTATGTTCTTTACACTTAGAGGGACTTACACTTTTAGCTTATGCTTTTTGATAACATAGCAAAAACCCCAACGTATTAGCTGCCTAAAAATAAGTGAACTCACATATACAAAACTGATGAATTTTAGTTTGAGAATTTTTTTTTTTTCCTAACAGGATTTGAAAAATACTTTCCTAATGGAAAGAATGGGAAAAAAGCTAGTGAATCTAAAGAAGTTGCAGGAGAAAAAAAAGGTATCTTTTAAAAAGAGTATGTTTGAATTTATTGTTTTTCCTAATAAATGATGGTGTTAGTTTCCACTAACCAAAAAAACCCAAAAAGTTTTGAGTCAGTTTTGAAACTATTGGTTATAGGTACATAGAAATGTACAAAATTGTGTAGACCCATGTTTCATTTTACTTTAATTTTGTATTCATATTTTCCTGTCATTTTTCAAGTAATTTAAGGTCACCTTACTGACTGATCAAACTAGGACTGTTTGGTAGATATATCTGACACATAACTGAAACCGTTGAGAAAAGTGTTAGAAACCCAATATATGCAACTTATTTAACATTGTGTTTGGAAGTGTTCTCTAGCTTTAATTAAATTTTGTCTTATGTTTGGGATTTAGAAAGGTTTTCTTGGGCCTGGGTGGTTGGGTGAGAGAAGCGTGTGCTCAGAGAATGCAGAGAAGTGAGAGTGGGGAGAGGAGCCGGAGGGTGCTGCGGCTGAAGGGAACCCCAGGCTGGGTGGGCACGTGGTGTGTGCTCTCCCAGGCCGCTCACTGCTCTGAATCTTGGTTTGGAGCAGAGATGAGAGTAGCTGCGCTCTGCAAGCCCAGCCTGTTGGGTCCTCTCGTATTGCTGTCGCCTCGGCCCAGAGTGGGTAGTACGCCAGCACCACTGTGGCGTATGCTGGCTGTTCCTGGGACTGTCTTGCTGGATGAGCTGGTAGTGGTACAGAGCTTTTGTGTTTCTGACCTGTCTTCACGTGTGTAGCACAGGTGGTGAGTATCACGGAGCCATTGTGGCTGAGGGTGCCTGCAGCCTCCCCTGGTGGTCTGCAGCCTGTTAGCTGAAGAGGATCGATGGCATTGTGGGTCGGGAGGAGGGAGAGGCGGAAAGGAAGATGGTAGTATCTGGGTAGTCTGTGAGGGTGGCCTTTATGGAGGGTGGTAGTTCCAGAGGCTGCCAATCCATAGGCAAGGTCTGCGGGTTGGTTCCCTCTAGCAGCTGCTAGCGAAGAAGCTTTCTAGGCTTATTGCTGACCACCCTCTTTCTGTGCCTCTTCACATCTCCACAGTGGGGGGCGTGTGTGTGTGTGTGTGTGTGTGTGTCCAGATTTCTCTTTGTGTTGACGCTGGTCGTATTGGTCAGGCCTCACCTTAATGACTTCATCTTGACTTGGTGACCTCTCTAAAGACCCTGGTTCTATGAGATCACAACTCAGATATGTGGGTCTCAGCTTCAGCATATAAATTGGTATGGGAGGTGGGCCAGTTTAGCCTGTAACAGTGACTAGGATCAGATTCTTGCACTCCAGTTATGTGTGAATAAGGTTGTTTTTTGTTGGTGGTGTGTGCGCGATGTGGTGCTAGGAATCAATCCGAGGACCTTGTACATCTTTGGCAGGTGCTCTGCCCTGAGCTACACCCAGCCCAAGGCGAGTGTCCTTGCTTGTTATTAAAGTCATGGCCTCCACACACAGCACCTGCTGTCAGTGCCTCCTTTGCAGTAGTGGAAAGAGGTGCTTGTTTTCTAACTGTGCACTCAGGATGCTGCTTGCCTGGGTTTAAACCCTGGTTGCTTAGCCAGTGTCACTCAGCATAGCTACAAGGTGCCTGACGAGTTGCTTAAGCCCAGTTCTTTCCCTGTGAAGTGGGCCGGGTGGCAGCACCCTTCTGGGGATAGTGTGCATTTCAGGGGCTGCCCTAGCAGAGCACTGGGCCCCCAAGGAGGTTCCTGCTCTGCGTTCATTAGAGTGCTTAATTCGGTAGCAGACATTGACATGGCACACTTTGTGTTAGATATCTGATACCCTGTGTGGGGAAACCTGTGGATGCTGTGAAGCCTGCATAGCTTCCTGTGTGCTCTTTGTCCACGGCAGAACCCAAATCAGCGACTGCCCCACGCTCTTCTGGGGAAGCAGGTGGCGGTGGAGGAAAACGCCGGGGCAAGAAGGATGATTCCCACTGGTGGTCAAGGTTCCAGAAGGTTTGATTCTAAGCCCTGTGCTGATTTCGAGGTTCCAGTGGTGGCCCTGGATAGGTGGGGAGGGATTGGTGTCTCATTGCCTAGATCATGTGCAGATCCATTCTTCACAGAGACTCCCTCTCTCTTTGCCTAGGGTGACTTTCCATGGGATGACAAGGACTTCAGGTTGTACTTTCTGTGGACTGCTCTGTTTTGGGGTGGAGTCATGCTTTACATCCTGTTTAAACGCTCCGGGAGGGAAATCACTTGGAAGGACTTCGTCAATAACTATCTCTCCAAAGGCGTCGTAAGTATTCTGTGGGGTCAGCAGTTGGAGTGATCAAAAGGTGAAATTTTGCAAGAAGTTTGTCCAGGCATTTTCACATTGGGCTTTCTAATGTTGAAAAGCCCTGTAATTGAGACACCTGTTTGACAGCACTGCCCACACCTGGTGCTGGCAGCTTCTCCCGTGCTGCTGCCCCATCCTCTGCCTCTCACTAGCTGCTTCCTGGGCCGGTGTGCCCAGCCTCTTATCCCAAGTGATGCCTGCATGATTTCCAGGCTGTGGGGTGGAAGCTGAGCAGAGCCATGGGTGGTAAGGGCCGCCGGAGGCCCGAGGTGTCTTGGCTGTGGAGCCCTGCCACCTACTGGCCTGGCCCTCTGCTCTCTGAGTCCATGTTGCTGTGTGTTGCAGACACCACCCACTGTAAAGCACCTGATGTCTTATGTGTTAATAAAACGTTTGTGATGAGCTGCCTGTCAGTGGAATGGATCTCTGTTTCTGAGATGTTAAAATACAAACGCATGCACCTTAGAGTCGATGTGTATGTTACAAACAGAACCAAGAATAAACCTGGGTAAGCTCAGGGAAACTATGCTAACGTCTCAGTGCCTGGATTTCATTAGTAATGTGGGTGAGGAAAAGATGCGAATACTTTCAGAGGTCAGAGGAAGAATGTAAATTGCTTCTTTGCAAAGTTGCATGGGAATGTGAGGGTGGGAACACCCATCTCCTGGGATGCTTCCAAACCCAGTGGACACGTTTTGCTGTGTAATCACTGTTCAGCTGAACTGAATGAAGATCAGGATTAGTGTTCAGTTGAATCAAAGGATGTGGTTTAGCTATCAAGAAATACAAGTGAGGGGGAAAAAATAAAAAATAATTCAAATTAAGAGTAAGAAACCTGCTTGGTTATAGTCATTAATACAAAGATGACAGTTGGGGAGATAGCTCGGGAGCATAAGTGTCTGTCTAGCAAGCGCAGGGTCCTGAGTTTGATCCCCCGTATTAAAAAAAAAAAATGGAGTTAAAGATAACACTTAGACTGGCAGAGTATGTGAAATAGGCAGGAAATTTGGCAGGATGTATAAAGAATCTTAAAAATCTTCATATATCCTTTGCATAACTTTAGTTGTCTGGTCATAAGAGACTCAGAGCCCAACATAATGGTGCAGGTCTCTAATCCCAGTCCTCTGGGAGGCTGAGGCAGGAGTATTGCAAGTCCCAGCCCATCCTGGACAGCATAGCAAGACTGTGTCAAAAGTAACAAAAGATGCAAATGTAGCTCAGTGTGAAGGCCCTGGGTGCTGTCCTTAGTACTAGGGTAGAAAAAAATGATAGACTCATGGGTTATTCATTCCAGAGTTTGAGCAAAGAGGAAAAAAATAAGAGAGAGAGAGAATCAAGTAACTGTGTCTAAGAGGGGAATTAGGTAATAGCCTGGCAATAGTCCTTGCTGTTTGTTTCTGTTCTGTGTCTGAATTGGCCAGAAGTCACAAAGAAAAACTAAAAAATGGAAGATTTTGAATAGTTTGCTCCTGGTTGTGGGCACACTAGCACCTCCCTTTTGTGACAAGAGACTGTTCTTTCAGGTAGGTCCTTTGCCACCTGGAGGGAGCAACCTGTTATGTCATCCTTTCGGAGTTGCTGCCCATGAGTGTGGATCTTTTTTCTAGTGTTTCAGATTTTCCCATATTTGATAGGTTGAAACGATAGAGCAGCAGTTTACTAATAATGACTAGTAATTCCCTTTGTAGTGTTGATTGGCCCACACTAGACCTGTACCCTTCCTCCCGCCTCCTCCCGGTTGTGGTGCCTGCCCAGGGCTGGGCAGGCACTTTATCATGGGGCCACAGCCACATCCCCAGTGCTTTATTTTCTTAAGTGAAACTGGTGTACAGTTACATTTTTCATTCTTGCTGTCTTTTTTTTTTTAACATCCTCTGCCTAGCACCTCCATGAGCTGGTGGCCACTTACGTGTCTGGTTTTTGTGTCTACTCAGGTCTTTTACTATTTTGTTGTTGAGTTTTGTGAGTTCTCAATAAATTCTGGACATCAGCTTTCCATTTGGTGAGGCAGAGTATCCAGCATCCACGTCTTAAAGGAGGAGAGGGCTGATTTAGCTAATGGTTTCAGGAGATTCAGTCCTGGGTCTATGGATTCCAAGGTGAACATCATGGTGGGAGGGTGTGGTGGGACAGAGCTTCTTAGCTCGTGGAGGCCAGGAAGCAGAGCTGAGGAACCGTGCCAGAGAGGCAGGGCTCAGGGACCAGATACAGCACCCAAGGCCACGCCTCCACGACCTGCACGGACATATACCCAGGAGGGTGTGCCACCGGTCCCCTAGGCTTCTGAGCTGACCATGTTGACATAGTGAGGCTTAATGCCCATCATTCCTCGTTTGGTTGTATTGCTTTTGCAGTGGCCACTGTGACGGGGTCAGGTCGGCTCTGCCGTAGTTGTGATTTGTACTCCTGGTGACAGCGACCTGAGCTCTGCCCTGCCTGTGTCTCCCTCCGTGAGCTGGCGGCCACTTGTGGGTCTGCTCGGTCTCTTACTATTTTGTTGTTGAGTTTTGTGAGTTCTCAGTAAATTCTGGATAGTACCACTCCCTGTCAGATACAGGATTTGGACTTTTTTTTTAATTCTGTGAGTTACCTTTCTACTCTGTTGGTGCACAGCAAATATTTAGTGCATAAAGTTTAAAATTTTTCATGAAACCCAATTTTTCTATTTTTCTCTTACTCCTTATACCTTTGGAGTTCAAGAAATCTTTGCTAGATCAAATGCCATGAAGCTTATACCCTGCATCGTCTTTTAAGGGCTAATGTAATTTTAGGTCTTAATGTCGATCTTTAATCCATTTTGAGTTAAATTTTGTCAATATTATGGCATAGGATCCAGCGTTGTCTTTTAGCGTGTCGTTTTTCTGTTTCCTCAGAACCGTTTGCTGAAGAGATCCCTTTTCCCGTGTGGCCATGTGCAGGAGGGTTTTCTTGGCGGTTGTGTATTCTGTCCCGTTGTCTATTATTATACCAGTTCCATGTTGTTCTGAGTGCTGTAGCTTTGTAGTAAGGTTTTTGTTGTTGTGTGGGTTCTCTTTTGTCTTCTTGACAGTACTGGTGGTCAAACTCTGGGCCTCAAGCACATGGTATGCCTGCGCAGCCCCTATATTATTTTTAAAATCTCAAAAGTGTGAGTTCTTAGCTCTGTGGTTTTGTTTGTTCTGTTTTGTATTTTTTGCTTTTTTTTTTTTTTTTTTTTTTAAATGTATTTGGTACAAGGTCTCACTACGCAGTTCGGACTCGTACTGATCCTCCTGTTTTCAGCCTCCCCCGCGCTGGGATCACAGGTGTGCACCATCACGCCTAGTCTTGGTGGCCGGCTCAGTGCTCCAGAGGCACGGCATGTGGTGCTGGGGATAAGCCCTGGTCCCTGCACTTGCCTAACCAAGTGCTTAATCTGCTGAGCTATCTTGCTGGCCTGTTTTGTATGTTTGAAACAGGGTCTTGGTATGTAACTCTTAACTCAGCCTTTGAGTGCTGGGATTACAAGTGTGTGCCACCACACTCGGCTAGCTTTGTATTTTAGTAAGGTTTTTTTCTTTTTTTAAATCAGATTTTATTGGTACATTTTAGATACATAAACTGATCATATTCATTGCAGAAATTTGTAACTGTACATGATATAACATTTCTCTTTTCCTTTTTTCCCCATTTCCCTACCCTCCCTTTAACCTCTTATTTTGTTTTGTTCTGTGTTTTATTGTTATTCCCTTGAAATTTCATAAGAATCTTAGGATGAGTTCTCTATTTCTGCATAAAGCATTGTTCTTTTCATAGGGACTGCGTTGATCTATAGATTGCTGTGAGTAGTAATGTTAGCGCTGTAACAGTATTATGTCTTTAATCAATGGACATGGATGTGTTTCCGCCTATTTAGATCTCAGTGTTTTGTAATATCTTATTTATTTTTTGATGTAGGGTCTCACTACGCAGTTCAGACTTTTAGTGATTCTCCTGTCTCAGCCTCCCTAGCGCTGGGATTACAGGTGTGTTCTACCACACCTGGTTTCAGGATCAGCACGGCATGCATGTGGTACCAGGGATTGGACTTGGAACCTTTATACCTGCCTGGCAGTCACTTAGACCACTGAGCTCTCTCCTCAGCCCTGTAATTTCTTAAGTGTTTTGTAGTTTTCACTATGCGAGTCTTTTACTTGTTTATTTCACCGATGAGATTAATCCCTAAGCATTCATTTTGATGTTTGGTGAGTAACATTACTTTTTTGTTGGTGGTGTTCTGGGGGGTCAAACCAGGCCTCTCAAGTGCTGAGCAGGTGTTCTACCACTGAACTGTGCTCCCAGCCCAGAAGCCTGTCCTTTGCTGTCATGTCCTGTCTTGCTGTGGTAGCTCATTCAGGCTGGGTCTCAGTCCTCCTGCCTCAGCCTCAGGAATGCTGAGATTACAGATGCGTGCTGTCATGTGTGCCTTGGAGTATTCCTTTTGCAGATGATTGATTTTTGTGTGTTGACTTTAATCCTGTTTGCCAGACTTTCATTTATTAGTTTCAACAGTTGTTTGTGGTGGTGTTAGGATTGTCCTTTTTTTTAACGAAGGGTGAGGAGGGCTGATCAGACTCTCGGGTGTGTGTATGTGTATCACACGCGTGCATGTGCACGTGACGGGGAATAAAGACAAAGAGACAAATTTCAGTTACAGGGGGGCCTGGAGGAGCTCTGCCAGACTGGCTCGGCTGCCTTTCTTGAGTTTACTAGCAAACAGCACATGCGAGGGTGCGGGTGTAGGCAGCACACGTTTCCTGGAGTGGTAGCGATATAAAGTGGGTGGATAAGGATTGTTAATAGGAACCAGATTTTCTCTTAGCCCAATTGCCTATATTTTGATAGTTGTCCTCAGCAGATACTGTCTTGCTTCAGGAGTGCCAGGTTACCCAGCCTTCTGTGTCCTTCCCTCCCTGTTCCTGAAGCGAGGAATGCTGCACCCCTCAGGACTTGGTGGGTGTGAGCCCCATATTTGGGCCCTGCAGTCCATCACAAAGCCTGGTGTCTAACACTCTTTTGCTGCATTGTTCCTGCTGACACTTGGAGCTCTGTGGTGTGCAGTGATGAAGGGGGCTGTCCTGCCTCGTTGTGATGAGAGGAAAAGCTGACCATTTTTCAACTGCATGTACTTGCTCTCTGCAATTTTCTTATCTGACTTTTATTTCATCAAGGTGGTTTGTATTTCTAGTTTATTGATTTTTTTTTTTTTTTAAATGAGATACTGAATTTTTCCAAATGCTTTTTTTTTTTTTGGCAGAACCGGGGATTGAACTCAGGCCCTTGCTTATTCTACTGAACTATCTACCCGGCCCTCCAAGTGCTTTTTCTCATGTGGTTTTCTTTCTTTCTTTGTTCTGATAATGTGGTACATGACATCAGTAGATTTTTGTGTGTCGAACTGTTCCTACATTCCAGAATAAGTTCCACTTAGTCCTGTAATATGCAGGGTATAGTTTGTTGGTGTCTTAGGGAGTTTTGCGTTTGTGTTCCTAAGAGATACTGGTTTGTAGTTTTCTCTTTTGGTAGTGTCCTCGTCTGATCTTGGTGTCAGGGAAATGTTCCCTCTTTGGGTTTTTGGAAAAATTTGAGGGTTACTGTTCTTCTTTAAATTTGTTTGTTTGTTTTTAAACAGGGTCTCACTATAAATTTGTTTTTTGTTTTAAGTTACCAGTGAAGACACCTGGCCTTGGGCTTTTGTTCATCAGTTTTTAGGATTCGTGATTCTGTCTGATTGCTAGTTACAGGCCTACTCAGACATTTTGTTTCTTTGTGGCTTGGTCTCAGTAGGTTTTGATTTCTGAAGTGAGTCTTACAGAGGGGCGTGGAGTTGTGCCTGCCTTTACCTACAAAGTGACTGCTGTTGGAGAGCAGCTTCCGTTGTGTTGCTTCCTACCTGTGTGTCTTACAGACCCTTTTGCCGATTTTCCAGTATTACTGTGGCTCTTTGAACATTTGAATTCTTTGCTGTATCTGCCATCAGTTCTTCAGGAAGAGCTTATGTCTTTCTTTGGATGAGCCTTACTTCTGTTTGTGTGCTTTGTGATTGTGTGCTTTGTGATTTTTAGTTTTGTTGTTGAAATCTGGACCTGTAAGTCTAATCACCTCCTCTGGAATCGCGTCTCTCCTGTCCAAGTTGCTGTTCATTGTTCCTCCTCTTATCTTCCCCTCTCCTCCTCCATCTAGCTCCCAGCTCTGGTGGCTGGCTCTTCATCCCCTCGCCCTCTGCTGCATATGGCAGCTTCAGCAGAGTGCTGTGTGGCAGGATGAAGGCAGTTCTGAGGCTCCCTGCTCCTCCATCTCTCCAGCTTCTCTCAGTGTCTTTCATCTCAGAAGCAAATGCCTGTCCCCTAAAAGTGAAGGCTGCACAGGCTGTCCTGTGCATGGCCCTGTGGCTCTCCTTCCAAAGGCACGTGAGGGTGCTCTGTTACTCCCCTCTCAGCCTGCTGGCTCTTTGGCTTCAGTTTTTGAGTAGTTGGAGCCATTCCCTGCCAGACTAATCACCTGAGGAAGAGTCACCCCCACTCAGGCACTCTGGAATTTCCCAGGGGTCATTTTGGTATGACACTTGAATCTTCGAGTTGGTTGGAGATACACTGCCCCAAAGGCTGTCTCCTGAAACAGCTGTGGCTGTGAAGTGAGAGGTCATGGTGCTCCTGAGTCCGGCATAGTGGATTTAGCAAGTAAGAAAACTTACTGTGTAGGTGAGTAAGAAAACAGGTGTAAACCATCTCCTACTCAGCAGTAAGAATTAAGAGGTCTTTAGCTAGCAGGTGTCAGTGCAGATGAGGTGCAGATGTGGAAAGACAGGAGCCTGGCTGTGAGGGGCAGAGAGCTGCTGAGGAAGCAGTGGCAGAGCCTTGGGGCATCTGTCTGGGTAAGTGCCCAGGTAGGTCTGCGGGGCCATCTACAGGAGTGCCGTTGGTGATGATGAAGACTGAAATCACAACTTGTCTACTGCTAGGAGAATGGATAAGTACCTTTGGGTTTGGTTGCTGGGGTGACACCACACAGAACCAAAAGGGCAGCCTGGGTAAGCCTCGCAATGTAAGTAATGCTGGCGTGAAAAGGAAGGTGTAGAAGAGTGGATACAAAACAAGTCCCTCTTTGGACATGGAGGGCAGGTTGTGTGAGCATGGGATGGCTTGGGGTCGTAGTGTGGCGCATCCCAGGCATGCAGGACAGCTGACCTTGGGCAGAGTCACCTCTCATGCAGGAGAGGTGGGAATGCAGGCATCCTTTGCCTTTATTCTTTTTGTAAGTGTGAAGCAGCCCATGCAAAGTGCCCGTAAGAATATTTCTATTTCTATAAATGTACGTTGATGATTTAATCTTTTAAATTTCTAGGTAGACAGATTGGAAGTTGTGAACAAGCGTTTTGTTCGAGTGACTTTCATACCAGGAAAGACTCCAGTTGATGGGGTAAGTCGTGTCATTAGTTGATGTGCTTGGCTATGAATTAATGTTCCTCATGTGGGCAGGTGTATACCCTTGGTGACAGTGGGGTGGGGCTACATGCCAGGGGTGACAAAAGGAGTGGAAGTGGATATGCTGGGTGCCTGGTGGTCCGGGCATCTGAGAGTACTTGGTTCTGGAAGAGGTCTGGAGTTATCGGTGGGCAAACTGCCACATCTGTGTTTAAAGGTCCAGATGCAGGAATAAGGGCCGATCCTTGAACCAGCAGGCCCTGGCCCTCAACTGAGTGGTCCTTCCTAGCCCTGTGTCCCTGCTGGCTCATAGGAGGGTGTTGCTGGCATTGAGGGACCCTGTCCAGGCACTGGGACTCCTCTGCCCTGCATCGTAGTCAGAGTTGATGCTGGTTTATTTGCCCTGAGGCAGGTATTTCAGGATCTGGAGGTCGTACTGGGTGCATATGTCTTGAAGACAGGCCCTGAAGTGTGCTGGTAGGGTTGTCTGTGTCCTGTGCATTTCTGAGTTTTCTGTGAGAACATGTGTTGCCTGTTTATTAGACTTTACCTGGCACTTTGGGAAATAGTTCAGGGGTTTTCCATAGTTTGCTATGTAGTGATAGTATTAACAGAGGCACTGGGCCATGCACCCACAGCTTTGGCTTCAGCCGGCCCCTACAAGGCATCCCTCCTCCAGATACTGGAGTCTTTGTTGTAAGAATGGGATGACAGTGTTTGCTTGCGGCTGAGTGCCTAGGGGAGGCAGTGTGAACCAGAAGTGGGTTCCTGGGTTCAGTGTACATGAGATCCCCTCTATCCCCAAGTTCTTACCTTGATGTCCTCCTGGAAGCCTGCACTTCAGCCTGTGCTCAGTGATGTCCTGTGGTGCCTTCAGCCCACAGGCCTGTGAGAGCCAGGCATTGCGAACAGTGTAGAGTTAGCGATTGCTTAGTCTCTCGTGGAGCTGATGTGTTCTGCATGTGTCTGTGGTGTGGAACCACAGGATTTCGTGTTTCTCAGGGGACTCTGGTTGTGTGAAGCTGGCGTATGCCCCATCTTCTCTGTGCAGACATTGTGGAGAAGTGTGGTGAGGTTCCCGTCCAGGAGCATGCTGTTGGAGAAGCTGGGTGATCATTGCTGTCCTGAGTTTTACATCTCAGACTGTTTTGATTAAAAAATGGTATTGTTAAAAATGTGATTGAAGGTTAAAAAGGAAAGGCAATATTTTTGTGCTGTAAAATGGGGCTAGTGCATGCACAGCGCTTGGACTAAGCATAACAGGATCCGCTACACGTGCTGGTGCACAGGGAGTGTGAACACAGTGCTTATGCTGGTGTGGGCAGCCTGAGTCCAGAGCTCTCCTCCTCCTGCAGGTGTCCGTGGATGGCCTAAGTCAGTCATCTGCAGGAACCAGCGCTCCTATTCAGCCAGTGCTCCCAACACGGTGTGGGGGACAGTTGTTCCTCCTTGTGTGTGGGTTCCACACCTTCACCATCCGTGGATTCAGTCAGCTGTGGGTTAAAAATATTGAGGGAAAACAGTGCACTTGCACTAAACACCAGGCCTCTCTCCTGGCCTTCCCCGAGCTGTTGAAGGAATGGCAGTGTGCAGAGCACTGACACCAGGGTAGGTTTTCAGGTCATCTGGAGATGGCTTAATGAACGCAGCTGGTGGTGTGTGCACTCTGGGTCACTTGGTGGGCCCCAGCATCTGTGGGGGCTCTGGATACCAAGGATGATGCTACTGTGCTAGTTGGTGAGCTTGCTACTCCCCCCCCCCCCCCCCCCCTCCTGCATTCCATACCCACTCCTGGGTGACTCAACTTCCCCAGCTGTACTGCCAGCCTGTGGCTGCCTGCCCCCCCCCCCCCCCAGGCCTCTGGTGGCCCTGTCAGGGAGCCTGAGCTCCAGGAGAGAAGTGCAGTGCTGACTGAGGACGCGGACAGTGCTCCCCAGGTGAACTCAGGGGGCAGGCTGCCGCAGTGTCTCTTGCGACTGGTGCTGGGATAGTAAGGCTGAAGGAGGCTCTTGCCCAGGAGGGCAGAGGTTTTAGAAAATTGCATCCAGGTTACCACTGAGTGGAACTTTATCACCATGTCAGTAAAGCCAGTCTTCTATTATTGCAATTTTAAAAATTAACAGGGAACCCTTTAGAGAATGGAACCTTTTGTTTCCACTTCATTCTTAGGATATTTGTTTTTCTGTTTTTATAGCAATATGTCTGGTTTAATATTGGCAGTGTAGACGCCTTTGAGCGGAATCTGGAAACTTTACAGCAGGAGCTGGGCATAGAAGGGGAAGACCGGGTGCCCGTTGTCTACGTCACTGAAAGCGACGGGTAAGAAGGGTTTCAGAAATTGTCATCGGTGTCTACGGGCTGCGTGTCAACACATCACACGTTGTGTTTCTCACAGCCCTCTTCAAATCTGGCCTCACTTTTAAAAAATCATTAGTAACTTGTCTTTTGCCCAAGACTGATGCTCTACACGTTTACATTTATCTTAGTATTGTTTCCCCTCCGGTATTCAGGATTGAGCCAAGTGCCTTCACACTGAGAGATATATCTCTAGCCTTTTAAATTTTGAAACAGGGTTTCACTGAGTTTCCCAGGCTGGATTTAAACTTGAGACCTTCCTGTCTCAGCCTCCTGAGTGCTGGGGCGACAGGCTAGTTCCACACATCTGGCTCATTCATCCTTTCTTAATGTAGTTGGTTGGTGCAGGGTCTCACTGCGCAGCTTGGACTCATAGTGATCCTCCTGCTTTCAGCCTCCCCAGCGCTGGATTACAGGCGTGTGCCACCGCTCCATCTCAGTAGCTGTTCAGCTTGCTGGGGGTGGGGCCAACATGGCGTGTGGTGCCAGGGATCAAACCCCGGTTCCTGCGCATCCAGTAAGCGATCTAGCTGGCCTTTTGGCTCATTTATCTTGATTAAGCAGTTTTGGAGGTTTTATGTGCAGAGCACTTGTCCTGTTAGGTTTTATTTTTTATTTTATTTTATTTTTGGTTAGAACCAGGGATTGAGCTCAGACCCTTGCTCTTGCCAGGCAAGCGCTTCTACTGAGCCATCTCCTCGGCCTGTTAGGGTTTTATCAGGAAGAATTTATCTGTAGAACAGTATTCCTACCTTGTAACTTTTGTTTATGTTTCTATTTTATGGTTTCCCAGCTTTAAAAGAAATTCTTTCTTGCCCAGAGCATTCCCCTCAGGCTTTGCTTTGGATCACCACACTTAGGAGGCTGGTGGGTGTGGCTTCCTGCAGAACCTTCCCTGCCTGAGGCTTCAGGTGGCTCCCTGCCTTCCCTGGCTGCTGCTGACACCCTGCACAGGACCAGCGGCCTTGGATATGCTGTGAATTTCAGCCTCCTTCACCTGCTGTGATATGTGCAGACTCCCTGGTCCAAAATTCCAAAATTTGATTTTTTTTTTTTTTTTGCGGAACCAGGGATTGAACTCAGGCCCTTGCACTTGCCAGGGAAGTGCTTTTATTCCACTGAGCCATTTCCCTGGCCCCAAAGTTTGAAAAGCTCCAAAATCTAAATCTTTTGTGTATCAGGTTATTTTTAGAATTTTGAGATTTTTTTGGGCTGGCAAGATAGCTCAGTGGTCTAAAGCGTCTGCTTAAGCAAGCACAGGGACCATGGTTTGATCCCCAGCACCACATGCGGTGCCGGCCCTGCCCCAGGGTGGGCTGAGTCAGCCACAAAAAAGTAGAATTTTGAGATTTTCAAGCATTTCACATTTGAGAGTTCAGTTTTTCAGATTCAGGTTGCTCATAACCTGTAAAACCTTTATCAGTGCAGCTTTTTCCCCACTCCAGAAATAAATGGAGTTGAATTTTCCATGGCTTTTGCTGCTTGCTTTAGCAGTGTTTAAATTCTATAATACATTTTTAAAAAAGGCAAATCCTGGCTTTTGTTTCCTTTTAGACCATGAAGTAGTTTTTGACTTACATTTCTTAGGCCAACTGAATTGCATTGTGTTAGGCATGTAAGCACACATCTATAGCCATGGTTATGTTAGAATAAATGCTAGGATGAGAAGTGGAAGGCTCCGTGTGTGCCCAGGCTTCGAACGCCTTGGCTGCTCCCTCCATAGTGGTGCTGGCTCGGGGCGTAGTGCCCCCCGACCTCTCAACCCTGGCAGGAGAGGCGTTTGAATGTGGACGGCAAGGATCACACCAGAAGCCTTTTCTTTAGGACAGGCATGCTGCATCTCAGTCAGAGCGGACTTTTTACCCAGACTAGTCCCGGACTCGTGTTAAATTTTGAAGTAGTTAAAAAGAAATTTCTTTGCCGCTCAGATGTAATGATAATAACATTTAGTCTTGTGCATGAATGATGACTGTGGGATCAAGGCAGTATCCGCAGGCAGCATATGTGTTGGGAACAGGTTTCTCTTTGTTACTTGTATTAACATTAAGGTTCTCCTTGAGCTTCAGATTAAGTATTAGGGTAGTTAGGTTTTTTTAAAAATTGTAAAATGTTCACAGCTGTGTCTGAAGTAGCTGTAGGAAGTACACATGCTGTGGAGCATGTCGGAGGCGTGAACATGCGTGTTTCTACAGCTCGTTCCTGCTGAGCATGCTGCCCACCGTCCTCATCATTGCCTCCTGCTCTACACCGTGCGCCGGGGCCCTGGCGGCCTCGGCCGGGGCGGCCGCGGTGTGGGCGGGCTCTTCAGTGTCGGGGAGACCACGGCTAAGGTCCTGAAGGACGGGATAGACATCAAGTTCAAGGACGTGGCGGGCTGCGAGGAGGCCAAGCTGGAGATCATGGAATTCGTGAACTTCTTAAAAAACCCAAAGCAGTACCAAGACCTAGGAGCCAAAATTCCAAAGGTAACGCGAACTTCTGGAGGTTCACTCCAAAATTGTTGAAGTTATCTCTTGATATCTGAAGTTGTTTTGTGAAGTTTGATTACTTTTAAAGAGCTCTTTCTGGTCTATGTCTCAGTCCAAGAAATTTATATTTGTAATCCCATGGATAAGTTATTGGAATCCCGTCAAGTTTATTTTAATCTACCGCTTCCAGTGCAAGAATAAGGATACTGCAGCATATTTGTAGTTTAAGGGGTCCTAAGTCCAGCCATGGTGATGGCTATCTGGAACAAAGGCCTTTACTCAAGACTGAACCCAACTTCTGTTCATTTGTGAAGAGGGAGTGGCTTGAGGATGAGTGACTGTGAGACTGGCAGGAGGTAGGTGAGTGCTGTGAGCTGGGCCAGGTAGAAGGCCTGCATCCACCTCTGCAGCATGCAGAGGAGAGGATATGCGGAAAGAATAATACGCGTGACACAGTGGAGGTAGTAGCTGATGTTTTGGGGTCTGTGCTTCAGCTCTGACAGGTAAGCTGTCAAGCTCCAGGAAGTCATGGCTTCCGAGTCCGACCTCCCAGCCCACAGCTTGGAACATTGGCTTTTTGTTTTGTCCAGCACAACCCACAAATGGGAAAAAACCTTAAATGTCCTGACGCGGTTCACAGTAGGGAGCAGCAGGTGGGGACTTCTGCGGAAACACGCACGCCATCTTCAGAGACTATCACCAGCACCTCCGCTGGACCAGCATGCGTTGCTTAGGGCCTATTGAGGGGAGAAGGACAAGTCCCAGCCAGCTCTGAACGTGTCAGTACGAGGAAATAGGGTCAGGCTCAGTCAGCATGAAGACAGTTGCTCCTCTTTCACCGAGAGCTGCCCAGGTGGCCCTCCACAACTCTCAGTGGCTGTTTCTCTGTGTTGCTTAGCTTGGGTTCTATCTGCCATCAGTCTTGCTGGCTCTCATTTTCGTGTCTTGTTGCCTAGATGGAGTGTACACTGTTCTTTCCTTCCCAGAGCCTTCCTGAGTCTCCTTTCTTCTTCCTCTGTCCCAGTTAGATGCCCGTGTGCTGGCAGTCACAGGCTTTGTAGCGTAGCAACCTCCTGCCACCCAAGTTCCCTCCCCTCAGGGTGCTGAGCCACTGCCCATGCCTGGCACTGTGGGACTTGGCGCAGGATGCATGGAGAGGAACCCAGTGGTACTCATGTCCCAGGCCTCTTCCAGCTAGTAAGATGTCAGTTCCAGCGACAGGCTGCGCACCCCAGGGCAAGAGGCACGTGCTAACTGCACGTTTGTTGGTGGATCAGCTGTCAAGTAGATGAGTGAAAGAGGGTAGGTGGTTCTTTTCTAACCCATTAGTAAAGACCACTCGGGGAGTGCTTTGTCACGGGGCCTGCTCTCTGCAGCCTGTCTGCTCAGCGTTGGAGAACCCATCTGGTGGTGGCTCTCTCCCCTAGGTCCTACACATTTCTGCAGCTCCATCCTGTAGTTCTCTGTTTTCTGCAAACACATTTTTCTTTTTAGATAGATTCATCGGTGGTGCTAGATTTTTACTTCCTTTACTAAAAGACAATTTTGTAACTCTGGAGTATGTGTTTAAGCTTTTAAAGAGAGAATAAGCAAACTTTTTAAAAATACCTTTAACTTTTGTTACAAAAGGGCCGGCTGGATAACTCAGCAGACTGAAGCTCTTGCTTAGGCAGCACAGGGACTGGGGTTCATACCTGGTGTGCTCTGCTGGCCTCGCCCATGGGGCACGCTGAGACAGAGGCCGGGCATGGAGGCCCACACCTGTAATCTCAGCACTTGGGCAGCTGGAAACAGGAGGGTCATTGTGAGTCTGGGCTGCGTAGTGAGACCCTGTAGACCCTGTACTAAATACGTTTAAAAAAAAAAATAAAAAGTTTTGTTACAAGGTCTGGAAAAAAATCTTTAGACTACATTCTCTACCTCCCTGCGGGCAGTGTTTGGGAAATGGAGAGGATGCTGTTCGCAGCTAGCCACTCAGTGGACAGAACATAGGTGAGTTCGTGGGGCAGGCCGGGTGCAGGCGTCCGTGCTAACAGCGCCCCACCCTGCGAGAGGTGGAGGTCAGTTACTGTATTCATTATTCAGGCTGCAGAGCACAAGAGAGTTTTGTAACTCTGGAGGATGTGTTTATGTAATCTTGGTCTGTTAGTAGGTCACTAGCCAAAGTCACCCTTTCTCACTGCCCTGAAAATAAATATTTTTAAAAAAATTTTTATTTTTTATTTTTGATAAAGGGTCTTGCTTCACAGTTCAGACTCATAGTGATCCTCTTGTCTCAGCCTCCCCAGGACTGGGATTACAGGCATGTGTCACCTAGTCTGGTTCCGGGGCCAGCACAGTGTGCCTGGGGTTCTGGGGCTGGCACAGCATTCAGTACCAAGTCTCATGCTCAGGACCTTGTGTTTGCGGATGTGGATGCTGCCGAGCTATCTCCCCAACCATGTTTGATTTTTTTTTTTTTTTTTTTGTATTTTAGTACAGCGTCTCACTACGCAGATCTGACTCATGATCCACCTGTGTTCAGCCTCCCAAGAGCTGGGATTACAGGGGTATACCACTATGCCCAGTCTCAGTCACTGGCTCATCATTCCCCCTGGGGGCGTAGCCGGCTCAGCAGGCTGAGAATTGAACCCCAGCCACTGCATCTGCCTAAGAAGGTGTTTTAATCCGTTGAACTATTTGGCCAGGCCTCCTGTTGTTTTGATTTTTGAGACAGAGTCTCACTTCATGGCTCAGGCTGGCTTTGAACTCACGGTGATCCTCCTGCTGCAGCCTCTGATGTGCTTGGGTTACAACCATGTGCAGTTTCCCCAAGCTTTTTGAAACAAGTTGTCTGTAGTAATCCTTTTCTTTTCCTTAACAAAAAATGTGCTACCACAGTTTAGATGTTTAAGAGAGATGACATCAGTGAGGTTGAGACAGTGTTCTGCCTTGCTGGCTCTGCTGGCTTCTTCTCGGAAGTTTTGACTGGTGACTGATCCCTCCTTTCTGCAGGGTGCCATTCTCACGGGTCCTCCTGGCACTGGGAAGACACTATTGGCCAAGGCCACGGCTGGGGAAGCCAACGTCCCCTTCATCACTGTCAGTGGGTCTGAGTTTCTCGAGATGTTTGTTGGTGTGGGCCCGGCTCGGGTAAGACCTGTTCTCTTCATATGTGTGAGTTCCTCGTCCCCTGTGCGCCCCAGCTGAGGCCGTACTGAAGCCAGCCCCATCCTTGGAGTCCCTGAGGGCCTGCTGGCCTGTGGCGGTCTGAGCACTCCTGGGGTTGAGCTCCCACTGGCCTGCGCCTGAGGGTGTCAGTTACTGAGGTCATTCTAGCTTCAGTATTTCACAGAGTGGCTTGAGTTTGTGAGTTGTTTTACAGAAACTCTATTGAGATACAATTGACATACTGTAGAATTTACTGCCTTGGCTCTGTGTGTAGTTAAATAACTGTCAGGCATAGTCAGATTTGTACAGCTATCTTCACAATAATTACAGCACAGTTTCAGTATGCTGAGAGGAAGCCCCACTGTCTCTGTAGCAGTCCCCTTCGTCTCCCGACCTCCATCTCTCCCCTGAGTACACACTGGTCTGCTTTCTGTTTGGATGGTGTCCTCACTACACTCCCCAGGGTGGGCTTGAACTGGGCTCAAGCCGTCCTCCTACCTCGGCTTTCCAAAGTCTGCAAAGGCAGGCATCCGCGCACCTGGCAGCATGTGGTCTTTATGCGTGGCTCTTTTTACTTAGCATGATGTTTACAAGTTCAGCAGTAACTCGTGCTGTACTTACTGAGGAGCCACCAGCGTTTTCCTTAGTACTTGTGCCCAGCTGCCCTGTCCCAGCCTGCAGTCCTGTGTGTCCCCAGTCTTGTCCCAGCCTGCCAGCACATGGTGAGGTTCTGGTTTGTTCAGTCCCAGCTGCCCCGAGGGAGTGTGGCAAGGCCTCGAAGTGCTGGGACACACGTCAGTATCTTGTAGGAAGAGACTGTCATGTAGACCTGTGCCCACTGTGCAGCTGGGTTCTTTGTCCCTGAGTGCTCAGAGCTGTTCACAGGTTCTGGATGCTACCTCCTGATCACATACTCGATTTCACGTGTTTTCTCCTACTCTACGACTGGCTTCTCACTTCTTGGTAGTAAAGCACAACCGATTGTAATTTTTTATTCTTATTTTCCACATTCACAGACTTCTATTTTAAGCAGTATTGAGACTTGTGGAACCTTATGTGCACTTTGTGTTTCTCCACAATTTACAAGTATACATCACAGTCCAAGCAATGAGAAAGTCTGTTGCAGCGAATAACAGAAGTGATGGGAGAAAAGTCAGGAATATTTTATGGTGGCACTGGGGAGATGGCTCAGTGGAATAAGCACTTCACTGGCAAGTGCAAGGGCCTGAGTTCAATCCCCGGTTCTGGAAAAAAAAAAAGAAAAAAATATATATTTATTTATGGCTATGGAAGTTCAGATGGGATTTAGTGAACACGTCCCATGAATAAAGTTGTGCTGTGAGCCTTCCATGGTGCATCCCAAACCTGGCTTTAATGAGCAGTACCATAAAGCCGGTACCTGGAACATCAGAGGGGTGTTTGCACAAGAAAAGTTCAGGCTTTTGATCACGTGACTTGCAGGGTCCTACTCTGACATGAATTCTTTGATGATGACTGTTTGGGCTGTCCTTGGTCACCTATTAACAGCACAGCCTAAACTAGAATGGTTAGAAATAAAAACAAATGTCACGGCCCGAATGCGGCCTGTCCGCAGATTCACCTGTTGAAGCCTCCACTCCAGATATCACAGGATGTGGCTTGGAGACAGGTTGACTGAGATCCCTCAGGCAAGCTGAGGCTCAGAGTGGCTCCACTCCAGTCTGAGGGATGTCTTCTAAGAACGAATTTGCACGTACAAGGGAATACCCATAATACACTTCGGGACGGAGGCCACGGGAAGAAGGGCAAGGTGCTCTCTGGAAGCCAAGGGGAGCATCCTCCGAAGAAGCTGATCCCCTCCTGCCAACACGTAACTCTGGGCTCTCGACTCCAGAACTGGGAGAGAAATCGCTGTTGCTTCAGCCTCCCGGGCTCCAGGATTTTCGATAAGGGGTGCTGAGAATATACTTCCATCATAGGTTCATTTATTCTCAATGGCAACAGAAACTGTCTCAAAATACATACAGGAGCTTTGCGTTTTCAAGAGACATTTTAAAATACGCTATTTCAATCGAAGTTTAAAAGCCATACATTACCCTGTTAGCAGTGGTTTTGATTAGAAAGTCAGTCCTCACAGTGTCAAGTTGTCAGTGTTTGACACCAGAAAGGAGCCCTGCTTGGGAGTGGTTTCGCATGGGTTCACATACCCCTGGGGACACGTGCTCCAGCGATCCGGGTCCCTGGCAATCCTAGTTCTAAAGTGATCAGAAGAGGACTGAAGATTGGGAGCAGCAGGGTCTGAAAGTCCCTGGGCAGTCAGGGTTCTTCCAGCAACATTACCATCTGAAGGCACTGCTACCATCAGCGGCAGAAAGGATCGCTTTTCCTTTCTCGTTCTCTTCCTTGGGAGCTGCTGCCGCTGCCGCTGCCACTGCCGCTTCCTTTGGGATGGGACTTGGGCCTGAGTCTGCACCGGGCTCATCTTCCTGCTTATGCCTGATTTTAATTTTGATGAAGTATTTTTTCCTTTTTTTATTGTGTATGCTTTTGGTGTTATGTTTAAGAATCCATTGCCAAATCCAAGACCACAGACATTGATGTCTGTGTTTCCTTGTAAGAGTTATAGTCGAGCTATAAACCTTGAGGTTAGTGATGCGTTTTAATTCAGTTTTTTTTTAAACATAGTATTCTTCCATATGTTATATAATTTCAGATATTAAACCAGCTAGAACTATTTCTAGGAAGGAGTGAAGAGAGCAAGGAGCAAATACTTTTCTTTTTTTTTTTTTTTTTTTTTGGGGAAGCGGGGATTGAACTCAGGCCTGTGTGCTTACCAGAGAAGCGCTTATTCCACCGAGCCATCTCCCCGGCCCTTAATTCAGTTTCGTAAACGGTATGTGGTAAGGGTCTGATCTCATTCTTTTGCTTGTGGATAGCAGTTTTCTCAATACCATTTTTTGAAGGAATATTTTTCCCGTTGAGTGGTCTTGATGTATCTCTCGACCCTCCGGTCGTCCTGTTGATCTGTGTATCTGTCCTTAGGCTAGTCCTGCAGTCCTGGTTACTGTTGCTTTGCCAGTTGTGACATCAGGAGGTGTGACTGGTTTATTTTTTAAGGACAGTTTCTACTTGTGTTTTTCATCAGTGTCTAAAACGTTGACCTAATGCATACAGTAGAAATACAGAGTGTCATGGTGCTTTTGCAAACTGTAACATGCTGTTTGATTATTAGACTCTGCTAAGACTTAGTAGTACAGTATCATATCACCAGCACCATTTCACCATGGTGTTGTCCCCATGGCCACATCTTTTGTCAGTAGCATTCTAAGGGACATGCAGCAGCAGTGCTCAGCTGGGTTTTGCAGAGGTGTAGGAGCTCAGTGGGATCAGGTGTTCATGAGCCAGGCTGCAAAACCCATGAGTCAGAGATCGCAGGAGAGCCGTGCAATGTGTGTGCGCCTGCGCGTGCGTGTATGTGCTATGTGCTCGGAGGGGAAGTTGAGGGAGGAAGGAGACGGTGGTGTGAGAGCCTTAGGTTGTGTGCATGGCCTGGAGTGGCACTGCAGGCTGGTGTCAGAGGCACTTTGCAGTGTGGGCTTTGTCAGGAGCAGAGGGGCAGGGACCAAGAGACTGGAAGAGAGTGCCGGGTAGGCGTCCGTGGGGAGGGGTAAGGCGCCTGCCATGCAGATGGGGGCAGCCCGGCTCCAGCTAGCCACAGGGCAGACGGGTCTCTTCCCTGTGAGGGATTTTGGGGACACCCGGTCCAACTGTGCCATGGGGTACATAGGCAGGGAGACTGTGATCAGCAGCATAGGGACATAATCCAGAAGCCAGGCAGGACAGCACTAGAGGGAGACCCTCAAGGGAACTGGAGGCACAGGGAGCACCTAGCCACTCAGGAAACCCCAACTCAAAAGCAAAAAGGCTACAGTGTAGCTCAGGGGTAGAGCACTGGCCTAGCAAGTGTGAAGTCCTGGGTTCAGCCCTTGGCACTGCACTTAAGGGTGAGGATAGGCCCCGTTCACAGCTTAACTACCGCTGCTTCTCACTGTCAGGTGCGAGACCTGTTTGCCCTCGCTCGGAAGAATGCCCCTTGCATCCTCTTCATTGATGAGATTGATGCAGTGGGAAGGAAGAGAGGTCGTGGCAACTTCGGGGGACAGAGTGAGCAGGAGAACACGCTCAACCAGCTGCTGGTGGAGATGGACGGTGGGTGGTGGGTGAGCTGCATTCCTGGGGCTGCGAGTCCTCGAGTGTAGGGGCGTATTAAACACTGCTGTGCACAGAATGCAAGCTGTCCTTCCCTGCCCCTTGGGAGCTCAGTGGTGGAGTTGAGGTGGAGTAGGAGAAGGCACAATTCACATGAGGATCCGGTCACAGTCATCCACGGTCCTGGAGGATCAGGCGGCACAGCCATGGGGGACCGTGATGGGTGAACTTGAAGTCCTGAAGTGAGAGCAGTTGAACCTGCTCACCTGCCAAGAGCCAAAGCTTCCCACCCAGTGTGGGGCTGTGCACCAGCTAGCTCCCCACAGCTGCCACCAGAGGGGCCCACGCCACCACCATGACCTGGTCACCCCATAGTGCACACGTGTTTTGGAACCCTGTCACAACTTAGTTCACAGTGAAAAGCTCTTGAAGAGTCATCGTGTACAGCCCAAACCTTTTCAGTCTGCTGCGTGGTGCTCATCTCGAGTGGGGAGGGCGGGATCAAGTAACTGCACAGGAAGCCTGTGCAGTGCGCTGCAGGCGCTCCACCCTCTACCTGTGTGTCCTCATGGTGGTGCTGGCTTCTCCCTCAGGTTTTAATACAACGACAAATGTGGTCATCTTGGCGGGCACCAACCGGCCAGACATCCTAGACCCGGCACTGCTGCGTCCAGGCCGCTTCGACCGGCAGATCTTCATCGGTGAGGGGCTAGCTGTGGGGGGTTCGTGTGCTCTCTGTGGCGATCTCTCTGACCTTTTTCCTTAAAATCTTCCTAAAGGACCCCCGGACATAAAAGGAAGAGCATCCATTTTCAAAGTCCACCTCCGGCCCCTGAAGCTGGGGGCTGCCCTGGAGAAGGATAAGCTGGCCCGGAAGCTGGCCTCCCTAACACCGGGCTTTTCAGGTGAGCTGTGTGCGGCCCGCCTGCTATGGGCTTTCCACTCAGAACCCAGAGGTGGCGTGCTGAGCCCACCAGCATGCGTCGGCAGCGTCCAGCCAGGCCCGGCCGCAGGCTCAGGTCCAGCCTCTTGTTTGCCTGGACTTCGTTAGGGCCGGTTCCTGACCATTAATCCTTCTATCTGTTTCTGTGGGAGTGATTCCCAAATGGTCTTTGGAAGCTGTTCCATTGAGATTAAATCACACGTCACTCTGGGAGCCTGAGGCATGATGATCGCTGGTTTGAACCCAGCCTGGGTGACTAGCAAGACCCTGTCTCAAAATAGAAAAGGTGCTGGGAATGTAGCTCAGGGTGGTGCCTGTGGGTTCAGTTCCTATGCTATAAAATGTGATTGTGCAGGTGTTGCTGGGACCCAGGGCAGGCCCCGGCATCCTGAAGCGCATCTCCGTCTCCCAACTCTTCTGCTCTCGTGTGCTGCCCGCGTGGAAGTGTGCGGTTGCCCATGTTGCTGTGCATCTGACTTCCTCCCTTCGCGGGCCCAGCATAGCCTGGGATGGGTGTCCGTGTCTTGTCTTCCGCTTGTCACTGGTGGACGTGGGGTGGTTTCCTCCTTGGGCTGCTGTGAGTAATGCTGTTGCTTGCACTGGCCTCTGCTCCTGTGTGGGCAAGATTGCATTTTTACTGCGCCTGGGAGTACATTGCTAGGCCCCTTTAGAAGTCTGTGCTTAGCTTTTTGGAGAATTCTCGGCTGTCCCAAGGTGGCCACCCCGACTCACCTCCGCTGGCATTGCTTGCACATCCTGTGCCGTGGGTGTTACTGTCTCCTCGGTCTTCCTGCTGGTGCAGTGTGGTGGCGTGTCTGTGTGCTTTGGACTTGCATTTCCCAAATGACTTGTGATGCGAAGCGTCTTCCTTGTGCTTCTCCCAGGGTTTTGTCTCATAGTCTGTGTCCCCTAAACACCAAATGAATTAAGAAAAAGGAGATGAGTACATGCAACTGCATGGTTGCATGGTCAGAAGCTGGCTACCCTGGCTGACAAGGAGTCCTCAATTTGTACTTGTTTCTTCTATTTGTTGAGTACGTGTTGTGCTCTAGTTTGTTTGTACTCCAGTATTACGTAATCTGAAAAATTAGTTTAAGAGGACTTTTAATTCTAAAAAGCTTTTGGTAAGCCTCAAGTATTTTAGTTAGTTAAGATAATGTATTAGGTCATTTTAATGTTTATGCTTATCATTTTATATAAACATTTTTCCAGGCATGGTGACACACACCTGCAAGGCCAGCACTTGGGAGGATGAGGCAGGAGGATTGTTGTGGGTTCAAAACCAACCTCAATTAGAGTGAGACCCCGTCTCAAAAAAAAAAAATTTTTTTTAATTACATAAGCAGTTTGCCTGTTTTGCCCCATCATTTTCCCAGTGGAGAAGGTGGAACTAAGCTAATTAGTGTTTTAGAGTAC